GCACACATCTCTCTTGAACGTACGAACACGATCCTGGGCGCTACACACCCACTTATTGTATGGAAACTTAAGTAGGTTTTGAGTTTGTTTAACGCCTTTGCGACAACTCTGGTCATATGACGTCGATGACCGCTGATGATGGGATCGCACGTGAGCTTTGTTTAAAGTGTCATCACGATGAAATGACACAACTTCGCCACGGGAACTTTCACAAAAGAATATCTAAAAACATTTAAACTTTATTTGTTTTACAACAACGTCCGATCGGGGTATCGAACCCCGGCCGTGCGTTATTCACTGTGCCACCCGACCACTCAAAGGATATCTGGGGTCACTACAGTAAAACGAAAGTAACAACTTTCATTTTAAGCGAAGATTATTTTACTTAGAGTTTATTTTAGAAATTATATATACGATTTCATGAGTATAGAGAATAGATAATATGTTTTACGTGTATTTATCTTTGTACATATATATATATTCTATGCATGGTTGAATTTATTAAACTTTAATCAAATATAAGTTTGATTTAATTGAATTATATATAATACAGCCCATCGTCCTTTATTGTAAAAATCTTTGAAGTTTTATTATTTGAAATTTATAAGAACGCGATTTTTTTTCTTTGTTTGACGGTTTTATTTTCAAAGTTTAAATTTATTGATTCACAATGAGTATGAAAAGTTTCTGGGCTGTATAAACCCCATCCTCTTTGCCTAGATCTAGAGTCCCTTCCCTCTCGTCTTCTGAAAGCTTCACTTTTCTCTGCCATTCTTTTCTTGTCTGAAAAACTCCGATTTTTTTAAAATCTTTCACATCTCTCACAATCGATGTTTACTTTTTTATTGATCGAAAAATCTGATTGTGATGGGTGCCATTACCGAAGTTCCCAAAACTACCCCACAGTCGCAAATAATGTTAATGGCAGTTGCAGTAGTGTTTACATTACTATTCGAACTCTGTCAATATCGATATTTCGACCAATCAGAAGCCGTTCTGTTCTGGCTGCCCATTCAAAAAATGAAGAAAAAAGTCATTTTCGCAACCCCTTTCATTCACAAACACGCGAGTAAAGTTTTGTTAAATTCTGTCCGATAGTTTTTGAGAACAGTGGCTTTAAAACACTGCCGGCTGAGGAAAGTGAAAGAAATAAGAAACGGGACAGACTTAAAAACAACAGCACCAGCGATGATTGACTTTCAATCAATAATGTTTATGTACATGAAATAATACTGTGTTTTGATATCGCCATGTCACGTTTTGTTTACTATTCAATTGTAATATTTTTCAAGGAAACTTGTTCTATATGAAAGAAAATTAGAATCAAAAATATGTTATTGTGCATCTTGTTCTCAGAAGCAGACCATTTTCTGTGGTCCGCATAACAAGACGGTTAATCCTATTTCCTAACAAGTATATGTTGTTCTCAGTTAAGTGCTAAATACCGGTCGGTATGGTCGTTCACCATTGTCTTGCATTGTTTATATAATAATTACGTACTTTTATCTACAAACCAGGCACGCGCATTCTTTGTGTACCTGTTAATTGACAGTAAGGAATGTAGTAAGACAACATTACATACCCTAACATGATCTAAAGACAAGGAGGAACCTTTCCCATTTAAACATAAAACACCTCAATCAAGTTATCGCCCTTTTTTTAAGGTCGGCTCAATATTGGCACGGCACAATTGTATAGCTTATATAATGGCGTCGGCGTTTACTAGAATCCGGCTGACGAGATTTGTTTTGTGTTTAGATCTATTCACATTCCTGTTTCTTTGTGATCAGAATGTTTTGTTTTTGATGTTTAACAATCTGTCTGAAAGGTGTGGCGACAACATCTAAATTGGAAATAAACAAGGCTCGTTTTACTAATTTACTAATCTTTTTAAAACATTCTTTTTGTATTTCATTGTGTTTTGTCACGAAATCCGGGTGCTGTTCATAATCTGATTGGCAGATAAAATGATTTTGTGCTTTCTCCTATTAATCTAGTCAATGAAAAAATACAGTTCAGAATAATAAAAAGCTAACGTGATTAAGTAATTTCTGTAAAAAAAACGTTAAAGGAATCTTCTTTTCTTGTGTGTTTGTTCTTCTGAAACGATTTTGACATATTTTCATTATGAAATTGACAATGTATTTCATTTCATTGTTGTCGATTCTAGCGTGAAATAAGATACCAAGCCTGAAGGTGTTATTTTCACTAATCAGATAATGACACCTGACGAGTGAAAACAACGCCGCCATCTGTTGAAAGAGTCCGCCTTTTGAAACATCGAAAGTACGTATGTCCTTTTTAATACCAGGGAAAGTTTTTGACGAAATGTTTTTAAAAAAAATACCCACTGACAACTGATCTTAGATGAAAATCATTGATTATTATTATTATCTATTTTTGTTTCTATATTATTGTTTCAAAATTTTCTCAGTACATCTCGTATATATTTATTTTCAGTTCACGTGCAAAGGTCAATCAAACTTATGTTTTTAAATTGGAAAAATAGATCGATCAAAAATAAACAAGGAAAAGTATGCTTTCATATCTTTACGGAAACAAAATCCTTATTTTAAAAGACACGAATTGTCGTTCAACAAATACTTCTTCCTTTTCGCAAGCTGATATTAATATTGATATAGAGTTTTGTTTTTGATCCTCGGATCATTGTGCGATTTCCGAGTGAAAATGTCTTACCGACAGCAATGTATCCGGTGTTTGAGCAGGGTCAGTGAGTAATAACGTACACACATGTAATACATGTAAAGCGTTTTATCTCGAACGCCTTCGTCTGAATTCATTTGAAGACATTTTGTGGAAAGCCTGCCTTTGACACGTTTTGGTTAGTTTGTGTTTTACGTCCTATTAACAGCTATGGTCATTTAAGGACGTGCCAGGTTTTGGTGGTGGAGGACATCCGGAGTTCCCGGAGAAAAACCACTGGCCTAAAGCCCATACCTTGCGACTACGAAGGTATCGAACCCGCAACCAAGTGGTGGAGGGCTAGTGGTAGCAGAATGTCAGACGCCTTAACCACTTGTCCACCGCGGTCCCCCTTTTACACGTATACCTACCTACATACATGATCGGTCCGTTTGGCCTTGACACACCCTTTTAGCTCTTCAAGTACATTAAACGATCATATTGACCTATTATAACCTTGCTTACAGTTGTATACAGGCAATATGTAACAACTTCTCAACGTCCGAGTACACTTTTAAGATCTAAAGTGTCTTATACGTGAGAAGTTAATATTTGCGCGACTCTATTGTCCTTGCAAAGTAGAGATCAGTATTTATTCGTCACACTAGGTTGACCATGGTACCGTGTACAAAAGATTTTTTTCCAAAACGTTATGGAAACCAAGGCCGTTTTCGTTTAAACGGTCAAACCTGTCGGACCACAGTTGTTCGTTTATTAAATAAGGCCGGACCTAGTAATCTGATGCTGCTGTCAGGCGAGCCTTGACAAACCCTTGCAAAGCCTGCATACACATTTGCAGGTCCGTCAGGATTTATACCCGAAAATGTTACATTTATAAACGTCAACCCGGTTGTTCCGCATAAACGAACAGGCCCCAAGTTTGCATTGAAGTACCTTGTCCGATGCTGACGTCAGCGATAACGAAACCCACCAAATCTTGTCCAAGCATGCGCAGTGCCCTATTGTTTTACCACCCGAATTACTTGTGTTGAACCATCGCGAAGGCAAACAAACATGGTTAAGGCATAAGTATCCATACTTCTGGCTTAGACCTCCGAGACTTACGTAACAAGCAGCTTCTCGTGTTTGTACAAGAGTACATCAGCGCGTGGCAGAGAGTCACGGTCAGTAATCCCGAGTTAAGGTCGAGGTTCTAAGACAAACACCTGTGTGATACCCAAGGCCTTATACTAATCAGAAAGAATGCCACCTCGGGGACGTGACGAAAACCATACCCACTAAATGTATCCTGAAAACCTACGTGTTTAACTTCCTGGGAAGAGCAAGTTATCTTGTAATAAAAGTGTTGAGAATATTGTTAGTTTTTGCACGGATTTAGATAACTCTTATCTAATTCCGTGGTTTTTGCCAGAATTCAGAAAGGAACAAATTGGATATGAAATTTCAACGACTTCACTCTCTCGACAATTATCAATTCCCCGCACATGTATTCTGCGTTTGTGCCACAGATGTGGCCGAACATTTGATGGGTCTAACTTTCTCTCAGCATCACGGTTTGGTTTCTTTGTGTTTTTGTCGTATTAACAGCTATGATTATTTCAGGACGTGCCAGTTTTGGTGGTAGAGGAAAGCCAGAGTTCCCGGAGAAAAACTACCGACCTACGGTCATTACCTTGTGACTGCCCCGCGTAGGTTTCGATCCCAGTGGTGGAGGGCTAGTGGTAGCAGAATGTCAGACGTCAGCATTGTGGAAAGATTAGCCAAGGCGAGGCTTTACAAGTGGATTGGTGGTTTCAGTGGGTTTACAGATCCAAGGGCCACGGAGATGTATATGGAACGGAAGAAATACCGAGACAATAAGACAGATCTTAAAATTATTTAGCATATGAATGTTTTCTTAATTTTCAAACACTTTCGACATGCAATTTAACATTATATATAAGTTCAAATATTGCAAAATATCGTCTAGATTTGGACTGATTTCCATGGCTTTTTAATGAGAATTGATCTTTGGACTGAAGTTAAAACTGTTGAATGTTCTTTGAATCAAGAAACGCGACTGACTTCATTTGAAAATTCAATCAAATCTCCATGGAATTCAATCGCTTTGCCCGCAGTTCTAGTCAGCTCGGTCACAAGTCAAAATTCTCAGCTATGGTCAGCTTGACCACAAGTCCGATTTCTCAGCTATGGTCAGCTCGACCACAAGTCCGAATTCTCAGCTATGGTCAGCTCGACCACAAGTCCGAATTCTCAGCTATGGTCAGCTCGACCACAGTAGCATATACGTTTTTCACCATGAACACACATGTAAATAAAAAAAATCCACAACGATGTTTTAAAATATTTTGTCATTTTAATTTTTCTGACAATTGTATAACTGTCAAATTGTATGTAGACAAACAAATACAGGAGTGCTGAGATACACGTTTACGACCTTCAGCATAACACATAATATTCTTCTCAAATTTGACATCAAAGCTCCAGATTTTGTTTGGAGAAAACAATTAAGTCCGTTACAAGTGCTAAAGTCGTTAAATGTATCGGATTACACAACTGAAATAACAGACAAATGACACAACCGTGTCATATATTTAACTGACCAATGGTCAAAAACTCTGTCCGCTTTTACCAGAAATATGGCGGGTAAAACTAATACTGTCTATAGGTTTAACCTTATTCCAGACTCAACGTTGAAAGACTTTTTTAAAATTTACGGGGGAGGGGAAATCTGACATTTGTTTTCCAACAAAACATCCGAATTACGTTTAAACAGTGGCTTGGCTCATCATGAGTGACCTCACGATCTATAGAATCAGTGACAAATACTCGTTTCAAATCACAATAATGATATGGTAAATTACAAATTGTTAAAATTACTGATAATATCTTTTAAAAATGTTTATATTGTAGTACTTACAATCTATTATGCTAGAAATGGAATCATTGTACTAAGATTAGTTCTTAAAACACTGTTCGTGAAGACTATGGAGGTATCAACATTGCATTTATATACGGCAGGCAGTTGAAATTCAAAATTAACAGAAAATTACGTTTATTTTTTTAAAAAGAACTTTTTGAAAGAATGATGCCGAATTCGGACAAATTTATCACATCAAACGAAAAACTTTTGTTTCTTTTGGACTATTACAAAATTCATTCTGAACTAAACACCGAAATTATTTTTACACAGATTTTTAACGTATTAGTTAGAGAAATTCTGCCAGTATTGAAAATGCGCTCTCATTGAAAAAATACCCACGCACGTGCTGTTACGCGCAGACCCTCCAATGTGGCCTTTACTAAAAACAAGTGCACTCATCAAATACATTTGAAATCAAGAACATGATATTCTTGAAATAATTCAAAATTATGTATGTATATATATCCTACTAAAAATATCACCATATTTAAATGTCATGACATTTGTTATATTGCAAAAAATTACCAATATCTACTGGTGAAAAATGACAAATACATTTTGATTGATTACCAAAAGATTAAAACTGGCGCAAATATGGTTGCTTTCATTCTGAAAACAGATCTTTCCTTCAAGCACATTGAAATAACGCCCCCAATTCTCTCCCTCTAAACCACTCATTTAATTTTCTCATCTCATGATCACAACTCGTCTCACCTTATTCTCACAAACACTGACACATTTCTTCCCATCTTGGCTTCATTTGTCAGTTTTGTCCGTACAAGGTATACATTTTTGGATACGATTGGCCAGTTTTTAATGACGAAGATACCTTTCATTTGCTCAATTATTATGTTTTAGATCAAAACTTCCGAATTAAGAGTCTTTTCGTCGTAAGATTTTGAACGCATTTTGTATAGCGGTGCCAAGGAAAGCCGTCAATATATAAAGTACGGTTTCTGAAATATAGCAAAATCAGATTTTAAATTGATTGTGGAATAAGATATGTCCTTTTTCGATGCAAATGTTTGCAAAGATAAATTGTGAGTTTTAAATATTGTTTTCGATTGTTTGTCTATTCGAGACTTTTATTGCCTTGTATATATATATAGAAGCTGGAAATGTCTTTTTTTTCCTCGAAACATCAATACTTGTTAAACTCTTGAATGAGATTAAAATTTTGACGAATCTAGTCTTTTGTAAAAAAAGCTTCACTTATCAGAACCCAAATAAAAGACAAAAGAAACTAAATCAATTAGGTTAAGATTTGTTTGATTTATTTGAAGGATTCATGTATGATTGACACACATTGACGCAATTACGCCCAGAAAATAGGTCACTGCGACCTAGTGTGTTAAACGTATCCTTGATTATACATTGTAATACAACGCTAATAAATTAGGTCACACTGACCTAGTTTTGTTTGGCACCAGAGCTTATTTACAATGTACAGAGTTCGACATTTACATTTATCTTTATACAATGGATGTATGGACAAAATAGACAAGTTACTCGCCAAAAAATCTCAAACCATATTCTAGATATGATACAGGTCCTTTTTTCCTCCGAGAATAATTGCATTTTGAATTAGACATTTGTACAATGTACGAATGTATTATATTGCACCATATAATTCGACCATGACGTCATCAAATAATGTGTATTGCCTAAAATATCAAATAAAGTATAATACAGGACTGATAAAATTGCTATCAACTTGGAACAGTTTACCAACAATTATCAAAAAAAGAAAACCCTGTCTTATTCGACTCCAAATTTAACTGTATTAAACAGGTATCACCATTCACCTGAGTATTCCGTCCTTCTGACGTCACTAATGTCGACATAGACAGGGCTGAACAGTCGATGAATTATAACATTTAATATTTTAGAGAATACACCTCCTAGCGTCACAATCAACATACACTTGAAACTGGAAAAATTCTCTATTCAGTCAGAGTTTAATTATTCGGTAATACATACAAATGACAACCTTGCCGCCATTTTTAAATTCACACAACTGTAATTGGTCCACAATTTTTGACAAAGTCAGAGAAAGAATCAACAGAAAAATATGTAGGAGAATTTCAGTCAACAAAAATAAAACAGAGGATACCACTGAATGTAACAGACGGTTGGCGCGCATGACAGGAAGTGACGACAATTGAGACACTTCTTCCAAAACTGTGGATTAGTTTTGGCGTTGTAGATAAAACAGTTATAAAGCTATAATCAAGATCACGCGTATTGTATATAAAGAAACCAAAAAAACATTGACCGGGCAATGACGAAACGACGATTTATTTTTAAGAAACAAAATTGTGTTTCAAAGTCTACAGAAATTTGTTAGATCCAGACAAGATATGAAACATTTGTTAAACTATTACGAACAAAAATAGATTATGCTTTCTAGACGGAACTTTTAACAACAGGATATGACGTATATAATTCTATCCGAACCGAAACCGGAAGTCGATATTTGAATCAACGTGTAATTTGCTGGCGTTAGGCCAGACTCGTTTTAATCATATATATATGTTTGTAGCAAAAAAGTGTATATCAGACAGTGTAAACTTCCTTATATTCGATCATTGTTTAAAAAGTATGCACATGGTTTTCTGAAATACATTAAAGTACTTCTAACTCGAAATTGAAAGGAAAATATAAACAGAAAATATCAACATAGCACCAATAGAGAAGAGGAATCGTGTGATTTCACATAGTAGACGAAATCAATCAAGTTTACTGAATGTAAGGGACCATAAGATTCACGTGCGACAACTCCGCATTTGAATAAAATATTTCATAATGGAAATTAAATGTTCAATCAATATTGAACACATGTTCACGAAATAGTGACAAATTTATCAGATCATAACTGTTCAATTATGTACATTTGTAACAGGCTGGCAATGAGATGGGCATTCGTCCGAGAAAAACAAATTGGTATCAAATGAATGAGGAAATGTTTTATGTGATGAAAACAAATGCGATGATTTAAAACGACCAACACTATAATAGTAACAATGTTTGACAAAAGCCTACGAGTGAACATTTATTATAAAATAATTATTGTCTTCTGTTCAAAATAATGAGTATCGTGAAATTATGTAGCTTTTTACGTCATAACTACGTCATGACGTAGACTATGACGTCATTCATGACATGCATCATCACAGGTGCTTCTTGAACTGGAATTTCTTTAGAACTTAGCCAATGGCGAAGTGCTGATCTATGCAATAGTGCTTTCCAGTGCCAAAGGTTATACTATGCTTCATTGTTTCCTGTGTGTACGTTTTTAATTATAAGTATAAAATAAAGCATAGAGTGCTTTACTTCTGGCATTTTCGGAATGCTACAGTTGTAATTTACATTTTAATTCTAAAATGCTCATCGAAATTAAAAATGTTTTTGAACACTATGGCACCGGAAGTGACGTGTTCTATGACCAACATTCCTCATCGATTCTTCAGTAAAGTTAATCGTTTTAGACAAGAATTTAATCACAGATTACAACATTGTGTAGGAAATGTGTCGATCAACATTTCGTGCTTATATGTTGTGTTTGGTTCATACCTGATAAAATCGAATAAATTACAAATAAATAACTATAAATAAACACCAACTGATCACCACAAGTGTTTGGGGGAGAACGAGACAGATTGCGACATTGAAATGATGACGTCACCGCATATTGTTTATGACGTACACAGTATATGAGCACATTAATTGGACAGGAAGAAGTGTCGCCATAGAAGTCTCAGTGTAAACATATCCAATTACGACTGCATGAAAATACCAAGTATTTTCTTCGCTTACTTCTAACTCTCGATTGAACGATGTTTAGCCCGAACGTGATGTCATTAGAAGAACGGCCACATCTGTTATCGAGAAGTTTTGTGTTGGGCGTTCTTAACGCCGCCGGAAGTAGCACCTTTTATGAATGGTCAGTCCACGTTGAGAACTGACCAGTAGGCTTGATCCAAGGAATTCCAAGAGCAGATTTCATGTGGGATGGCGCCTATGTCTTCTCCGCGACCGCCCTCGTTTTCGACTTGACCCGAGGTTACACCTATCAGCTATTTTTCTATTGCGATCTTTCTCTCGTCGTAAACGTTTAAAACAATGTCTCTTTCTAAATTGATTCAGTCCTTTCAAGGACGTCTTAAAATAGTTTCGCACCACTTTCCTACAGAATTTCAAATACGTCCGTTTGCACTTTGGTGGCGATATTCCGTCACAACTACCGGAATTTTCCTCTGGTTTAAAGTTCCCCATATTGAATAACAGGTATTTCCGTAGTTGTCGTCGATGTTTGCAGTCTTTAGCCACTATAGGCTTACCATCACAACTTAGTCCTACGTAATAAGGGTTCTTATGGTGCCGTAACCGTGAGAGACGGAACACTGTTTTGTTAAAGCTCGAATCATTGCTCTGGATCCACTGTTCATTGAAGCTGAAGCTGCATTCCATTTCATCCATGGTTCCCTACAAAGTTAAAAAAATATATATAACATCTATAGCAAAGACACCAAAGACCCCGGAATCATGAAACAATCTTAGACTTCATTTTTCGCCTAGTCAATCACGTATGACGTCACTTTTTATGACGTTGTCTGTAATTGGTTAATTTCAAAACTGAAGATCTTTTCATGATCTCGAAACCTGTATTCAAGTTCAAAGTTCGTAAGGCGTGGAGGCAGAGCATATCTTGAAACCCGCATTAATCACTTATATATATGCATGTGGTTTTTTTTTTAACTTTCTTAATTAAATGGTTCAACAATCTTCAGCACATCAACATAAAACATATTATACAAATTCAAACAATCTCGTCTTATTTTATATTGAAGTTCAATTACTTGTATTTCGATAACACTGTCGTGTAGACGTGTGACGTCATTACTTACCGGTTCTGACGCATACAGTTGTCCAGACCCATTCATACAAAGATATCGCTTTGTCTCCGTGCCCTGTACGACGATCACTTTCTTATTCTTTAACTCTTTGATATGGTGTGCTGTTGTCTTCAGCATTGCTGAAAATTACAAAAATAAGAACTTATACTAAAATACGGGAAAGGGTGACAGTATTATAAATATATGTGTATATAACTAAATTGTCACATTAAATGAACGGTGGACAAATTAACTTCATCAAGACTCAGACATCGCCGACATTTTCAGCACAAATCTGCTATATTTGGTAAAACTGTACAGTAGGTATATGACTCAGTTTTATTGTACGTTCGTTGGAATGTAGCCCTAGCGGAGAACATTCTTCCTTCAATCCTACAAAGTAATTTTAAAGTCGTGTATACGAGTCAAAAAGCTGAAACACATTTGAACCAAGTCGAACCCCTGGGCTGTGATAATTATATATAAGTCAGCCTATACAACGCTTATATTAAACCCTTAATCAAATTAAAGCTCCGTTCCATTTGGATTGAAGTCCGTGTTCGTCACTTTACACGGTCACGTATGTTATATGAAGGAAGGACGGAACAGAGTGATGAATGGGGCAAAGAAAGAAAAGGCAATGAGATGGGATGAGTTTGTAAGTGGGTAGAGGGAGAGAGAGGGGGAATGGTTGGTCACTCAGTCAGGAAGAAAGGAAGAAATGAGTGGAAACCGAGGATCATTGATAAGGAATAAAGGAATTGAGGCAGAGAGTGAGAAAATAAAGGAGAAAGGAAAGAATGAGAATGTAATGAGGGAGGGCGGCAAGAAATGAATATGGAGGACAAGACAAAGAAGGAAGGAAGGAAGGAAGGATGAAAAACGGGCATATATATATATATATATATATAACTATCCGTTATAGGTAAGTAGGTTTACCACTGGTTGCTATCAGTCTTATTTATGGCCTTGTCGTTCATACAGCTATCGCTGTTCACAACACACGTAACTGTGTGCTAAAGCCGATAAATCCAGCACAAAGTACACTCACTGCATACAATTATAAACGTACCACAGGAATAAGAATTTTAAGCTTTGATTTTGATTTTCTATAAAAAATCCTGTCAGCATATAGTTATATATCGAGTGCTTACTATTTATTTTATAAATGTGTGTGCCAATGCTAAACTTTCGTTTTCTTATGTTATGTTGATAACGTAGAAAATGGTTTTAGGACAATCTCGTTGATGTGTCAATACCGGCTTAAAAATAGCACAATTATCGTATTTTTCATCATATATATAAAAACTCCGGCGTTATGGTAACCCCAAAATTATATATGTATATACAGCACGTGTGCAAACATCTACATATCACACGTGGAACCTGGTGTACCATGTTGCATTGAGTGCCTGCTGGACCTATGGCAAGGTACGATACTGGGATCGCTTACTTTTAATTAACAAATCAATTAACAGACTCTGCCCCGTTCGATATTAGCGACGAGCTCTGACCTCTGTCCGCCACTTAGTGTGTTCACATGTGTGAGCGAAACTGTTAGGGCTTTCCTCATACTCGGCCGTCCCTTTAACGGAGTTTAGCTCACGTTCGCAAATCATCGCTGGAAAAAAACGCCTTCCGCGTAACGATGTGGACAAAAACTTGGTACGTTGTCTCACTTTATATCTTAAAAAACCCCACGTTGTTCGCGTGAAATATAGGATGAAAATCTGTTGTTTGTTGCTAAATGAACGTCAACAGGTGCTAACGTTAGCACATTCGTTTTGTTCCGTAAATCAACTGTCAAGTTCAGAGCACATTTTTTTTAAAAAGAAAATTATGGAGATATATAGACATCTGCACCCATTCACCGAACATTTACAAAAACCATGAGAAACAGTTGGTGCAAGATGGCCTTGGGCCGAAACTCAAGGGGCACACTTCAAAGGATATTCTATCTGGGGAGGGGGTGATTGGGATGAGGAGGAGCAGAAGCAGCAGAGAGATGGGAGGGGATGCTGGCCAACTGCAACTGAAGACAAACAACGTCGCTAAGGGACTCTCCCTTACTTCAAGTTATTAAGAACGAATGTAGCTTGGTTGCGCTGGGTGGTGTTCGTTTCAAAACTTGTATTTCATATTCAAAACAGATACTTTTTGCGTTTTACATGCATTGGAGAAAGAGAGTTGTGTTTCCAAAACACGTTATATAGATACAGATATGATCATAGTAACTGACTGGGAAACCGGGGATTCACTTTACTCAGACGTTTGCGTTGTAAAATGGTCGACACACGTGTAATACACATTTATATTGATTTGTTCAAGATGGTACAATAGTATTATCACGAATGGCTGCACAGGGACTGATGTCGGTCTTATAAATAGCACTATTTAGAGAGAAAATTATATCAATATAAAACATATTCCCCTTACAAAAAGAATACCTATTAAGCAATTTTGACAACTTAACTGTTTGTTACAATTCGTTCTAAATTTATCGATTCTACTTTCCTAACTTCTAAAACATTTATAACTATGTGAAACAGGAAACTGTCAGACATTCCTGGAAGAAAAGATGATATTTGGAAACTTTCGAGAGCAGTTCGTGGAAAAAAAGCACATTGAAGTTTGTGCCAAAGACTGCACTTGGAAAATGAAGGGGTCGGGGATTCCTATGAGAAAAAAAAATCAAACTTAATTTTTTTGAGGGTGAAGCTGATCAAGACGAGAATGTGTTAATAAAAGAAAACGCCATACTTGGAAAATAAATGTGTTCTCTTGTTAAAAATTGTGATAAAAAACATCACTACAGTTCTTTTTAAAGTGAGAAAGATCTGAGTACTTACCATATCTAGAAGATCGACACTTAGTCCCATTGATGGCCCCGTCGGCTGTTATTTGCAAAAGCATAACATCGTTAATTGCGATGAAAACGGATCCCTTAAGTGCAGGTTCCCAGTCAAAGCGCTCATTCTTTAGGGCTTCACCGGCGTCCGGGTGTCCATAGTTCGAATACGACATGCTGATTCCGATGGGCAAGTGGGTAAGCAGACACAAGAGAACTAAAGCCAAAGTCGTGAAGTGGTCTACTCCGGGGATAGACGGTGTGACATACGTGGTCATTGCTCAATACACACCAGGTGATAGCGCCTTGCACACACACGTGCATCTAACTGAGTGGTGGGGGAACACGTGTTGCAAATAAAGTTATACATGCACATCCACTTAATGAAGATCATTTGAAATTCACGAAAAATCCTCTCTGACGAATTAATTATGTAATATCTTGTCGATGTCTACTGCTATATTGGATTTCTCCACAATTTAATAAAACAAATCACAAATATTTCACCACTTTTTTGTATGTATATATATAAATATAAATCTATGTAAATCCCATTGAATTATAATTCGTTGGTCACATGGTATTCCGTTATAAACAGAAGCACAGTGGCGGTTCCATTAACTGGTTCAGTGGCTGACTCGACCCACGTCGTAGTGTAAAATCCATAACGTCATGCCGCCATAGCACCGCCTGTACCTGCAGCAGAGGAAAAAACAATTAACATCACACAAATGTCGGTTGCACAATACCTGTATAGACCATTAACCTACATGTAGCACAAAACACCGACAAATTACACAATAATTACATAACGATCCTTGATGCAGCAAAACTTTACTTATATCACTCATAAATACATGTATATATGTATAATATAGGTAGCACATGGATTCTTTTTCATATTAACTATCATGCTAATGATTATTACCGCAATATGTCGGCATTAAAATGTTTAAATGAAAAAAAGGGAACATAAATCATGCACACCTGTTCTGGGTGTTGATAGGGAAATTCCAATTCACGTATGGAAATGTGTATAACAAAAGATTTCGATACAATCTTACACCTACATGTATATACTTAATAATTCAAAACATCTACGTTCATGCAGGTATACCGACCCAAAACGAAGTAAAACCCTTAAGAAACACACAACAGCTGTTAAATACACGTAACCCCAGCGTTTATCCATAAAAAATACTCGATTTGTACTTCGCCAAGCCATGCGTGCCAGCCGGTCGCTGCAAGTTGATGATGAAACTGACACGTGCTTATAACATTACACACCTAGCGATGTAAATTTCAAACTCGTCCAAACTCGTGGCCGCTATAATGTTATTTTCCTGTGTTCGGTTTATTTAAAATACACAAACAAGTTCAGACGGGGTCTCCATTGTTACTCGAATAACACACATAGCGGTATTTGTCATCTTTATCTTTGTGAAGATCCTCTGCCTTTCGGGGCTAGTACACATAGCTATGTATAGGGAGCAGGCTTGTAAGTTACCAGTAACGGCGAAATAAAAACCTTTAAAAAACATGCTTCGAGCTGCAGGCTGGTCGTGATATTTTCTTGGCAAAATATCGCTTCATGTTTTACTGTGCCGACGACTTATAGGTAAACATTTAACATGTCTAGTTTTTTTTAAATAAAAGCTTTAATATTTGACTAAAAGTTTGAAAACACTGAACGATTTTATCATAATATTGCATACCTGTAAGTCTAGCTGTCAATCAAACCCCCAAATTAACGCACTAACTGACAGTAAGCCACGTGTGCTCGAAATCAATTAATGATTATCAATTAGCATATATCAATTTCATTGGCAAAACCTAATCAAGCTTTAAATCTATGGTGAAATGAATACAGACAGAGAAATATTTAAAATAAGCTTACAATTTAAAACAGGCATAACACAAAATTTGGTAGGTGAATGACTTAATACAAATGATTCTTACGAGTGAGCGTTGTACATTAGGGAAATGTTCCGTTATGCAATGATATATAGATAATAAACTAGTTAATGGGCGCCGTTGGGGTTATGTATTATGTAATAAAAAAAGAGACATAAATGTCAAAGCGTTCTTTACGATACATATATATATTCGTTACATATCTATTCAACTTTTCTGATCGATACCAAAAGCAACAAACGACCATTCATCAAAGTTAAAAGAGTGTCTACAATGTTGGAAGACAAGCCACACGTAGCTTATTCAGCGAAACGATTGAAATCTTCAGGTAAAATTTCCTACCAATACAAATATTCTGATTGTAAAGTCAATTTTGTACAGGTAGGTAAAGGGAGTGAAAGGTGAAACTGACTACCTGTAGAATACACCTGTATATATATACATATAACGGTACCTGGAATATACAATGTATATACACAATATACAGGCGTGTATATCGCCTATATGACGGTGCCGACACCGGCACACAATTCAACATGCATGCTGCACAATATAGCTAAAGAAATGAGAATGTCTAACTGATTTCTTCTTTCGTGTCATTCTTTGTATCTATGTTGAATACAATGTTATATCATATTATATTATAGATAATTAATACAGACAACTGTCTCGTTATTTGACACGTGCGAGAAAATTAAGGCCGGTCCGCATACTTATCCTCTAGCCCTTTCCACCAGACAACATACATTATTTGACAGATAGATCTCTATGAGAAATCCAGCGAGCGAAACAAAAATGAAACTAAAAATTTCAAGAACAGTTATCGCCTTACTTATTCAACTGCACCACTAAGAACTAAATAAATTGATAATTGATCGATGTTAAGTTTTGTCTATTTAGCAAAGATGTTAAGTTTTCCTTTAGTTGCAGTTGAAATAAAGGCATTTCAAATATCGTGTTTTTTTTAACCAATGCATTAAATAGTACCGCCTATTGAAAATTGAACACACCTGCCGACATTATGTATAAATATACCTATATATTAATATATAAATATACCTATACCGTACAAATCTATTTAATAATCTAATCAAGTATTTTATCTACAACTCTGATAATACCGTCGAACTGGTGTTAGAAAATATATAGCTCGCCTATATACCTAGTACGCTATCACTTATCGTGAAAAGTCCTTCTTAGGGCAACACATCATCAATAGATAATTTTGACTAAATTGTCTTTATAAGCAACAAAGTTCATACCTTAGATTGTTCGAAGTCTTGATTATTCCACGTTATTGTTAATAAATTCCAATCCATAGCAAACAGAAGTTCTCACAGTTAAATGATAGTAATATATCCAGCCGAACTACCGAACCGAACTCTCGAGTGTGTAATGTGAGGGCTAGGCGATATCTACTCGAGTATACCGGATAGCTGCGCATGCGTATTGTGCATTACAATAAACATGGCGACGTCCGTGTTTCGAAGACAGGTTCTACTATGTTGCAGGCATTCAAGAACAAATACGAGACAATTTACAAGACAAGTTTACATAAAAAAGGCCTTAACGCCCTCGGCAGCTATTGGGGCAACTATTACTGGTGTATTAGCGTGGAAACTATGGCATTTTAAACAAGAAACTCCAGAAATCTTACCAGTAGTGACAGCAAAATCGGAGGTTGGTATCTTATTGCCTATATCTGTCCTTGATGAGATCTTTGTTATTCTGTAGTGTAGTTGGCGATTATTATAGAAAGCACAAGTATAAGTTGATTCAGCACTATGCGAAGGGTTTTTGACGTAAATTCCATGATGTGGTATCTTTAAATAGAAGTTGTGGGCGGGGCTATACTAACCAGGTTTTGACATGTTGAATATGAGTGAAAACTTGACTGCTGATGCTGCCTGAATTTTGAGGAGAAACAATTTTGTTTGGTTCATTAACTTCCAACAGCATGTTGTTTGTGGGTTTGTTATTATAATTTAGAATCAGCATCGACATATACCCAAAGGCGAGTGGCCACGGGCCTGACTCTCCTATCAAAACATTGGTTGGCAGTTTACCTGTGTTGGATGAGGGGAGATAACTGGGGCTGACATATACAGAAAACGAACAAGAGAAAAGTTATGAGTGTGTATTTTTTATATAATTATGGTCACGTTTTTATTTTCATTCTTCATTCTGTGAAATTTTATTTTTATGAAATGAAATGTAGATAAAAATTGTCACATAAAATGTTCTGAAAATGCATTAATAAATGTCTCCTGTTAAATTGACTATGGTAAGAACTGTTCTAAAGTACAGTACTAATTATGAGGTTTAAATGGTCTTACACTTCATATATTATGCAATTAACTGATAACCAGTTGAGAATTTTTATGTTTTTGTCAGTATTATGTGAGACCAAAGTATTGAAGGCATGGTACAAGTACTACCAGGGACTGAAATATTTGTTTGTTATAATTTTTTGTTTTGTCATGATTGTAGATAGACCTGTTTTAGGTTTAGTTTATGAATGACTGACAAGACTGATGTGTACTATACAAGTATTGTGTAAATAAATATAGGTCCAGGTTTATAAGCGCAGCCTGGCAATGCCAGACAAGCCTGTTGAGTTTATCTTTATGATATTCTTTTTGTACTGATGCTTATCCTGGCTAAATCTGTCGTGGATACAATGTAACCATTGTCATCTTATATCTGGTTCCCTGTCCTCAGATACATTGTTATAGATTTTATAAACCTACTTCAAATCAGTCAACTTGATCAAATTTATTAATATTTTTTTATTTCTTTTTCTTAACATTCATCATTCTATTATTTTTTTGTAGCTTTGGAAATAATTGGTTTACATCAAGTATCAGTGGCGGATCCAGAGACCTATCTTGGGGGGTTCCAAATTTCCAGAGGGGGGGTGGGGGTCCAAGTTAACATATTTCAAATTTTCATGGTGGGGGGGTTTCCTGAAGCCCCCCAAAAAACTCTGGCCTCGCCACTAAGTATGACATTATTTAACATATAAGTGTCAATCTTCATTTTTTGGGGGGAAAATTTGTAATTTAGTTTAATTTAAAATTAAGCTAACAAGACTTTGTGAATTGATCTTATTTCCATGTTCACAAGATTTTTTCTGACCCTTTCTTTTCCCCTTAAACTTGCGAATTAGTTTCAGGTGTTTAATTGATTGACTCATTCGCATTGAATAATAAAATGTTTATTGAAAAAAGCAGTTAAGGGAAGCCACCAAACCAAACTAGGTCCAACTCTTGACATTCTGCATTTGCAGAAATTTGATTTTAAAATTAGTAGTATGCATGCTGATGTTATCAGTTGATGGGAAAAGCATTATTTTCTGTTTTGGTCATTCAGTGATCAAGACATAGTATAATGATGACACACTGTGATATATTACATACCTTGTGTATATCTACGTTTAACTATTGTTATAGTCATGTATATTAGGGGTACAATGCACATCTATAGGGTCTAGAATGCCTATAAGGTAAACAATGATATGTGTTTTGTTTGAATGAAGATTGTCATCTTTTTTAGCTGTCATCATGGCTGAATGCTGGAAAGATTGATAATGTACTGAGATCATGAAAGAAAAATGTTCTTGATAACTAAATGTTGAGTAGGTGCTTTGTCCACCGTGTACAGGCCATCATGTAGCTTATTGAGCCCAAGGGATTTACAAAAGGTCCCTATAGGGTAAGGTGTCAATAAGAAAAATTACACTTTTGTTTGATATCAGTTTAACCTATTGACTGATATGCTGAAAATTATAAAAGAATATTTGACTCAATTTATCATATTTGCAGTCTCCGATTAAGGATAGACAGTGCCTCTTGGATTTTTGTTTACTTGCGTTTTCTTATTTAATCAACAGAATTCTTTGCTTCATGCTATTGATCAAATTCAATTAATGCATCATACTGCAAAGAACATCTTTAACTATTGTAGTTGACTTAAGTTATCGGTTATAGCTTAACACATAGGGGTCATTTTAAGTACATATACATGTATTTAGACGTTTTAAAATTTTGCCACTCAACATTCTATTTTTCACATTGAAACGTTAGATATTTTATGTACTACAAATCCACAAATTATAAATTGGTAAAATATTTATTAAAATAACATTCATTTATTTCTGTTTTATTATTTATTAGTGAGATATATTTTCATTTTGTTATCCAAGAGGAATTAGTTAAGGGAGGAAGTTCAATTTTTTTTATTCTTTGTGTAGAATTCTTTCTATAGCACATTAAGAATTTCCTGTCCTTATTAAGTTAATCAGGAATGTTGTCGGAATGTGCTTGGTTTTGTCTGACAGAGACGGCAGAATTTCCAGCTATTGTGTTAAAATGTGACTTTAATATGCTTTAATAACAAGAATTATTTCAAGTTTCTTTTTCATGTATATTTGTTAAAACAACATGTCTGCAGTGTGATTGGTCAGTCATTATCATTCAATCAGTGTGGAGACAGAAAGAAAAATATTATCTATTCACACCTGACTGGAAACCAGGTAAAGAACAGGTGTTGTGATTTCTACAGCTAATTACGTGGACAGGTGAAATCTGAATGTTGTTTGATGGCTCTTGTTATTTCTATGACTTACCTGTGTTCTGATTATATTTGACCTAATTTATTAGATTACCTGTTGGTTGGGTCACAACCATTGCAATGTCTAATTTGATTATTGAAGTGAGGCACCGGTTTGGATATCTTGTTCCTTTGTTTTTTTGTCATTGTCTAAAATTACAGCTTATGTTATTTGAAAAAGAATGCAGTTTTTGACACAAATTGCGGAAACTCCCAAATGTTGAAATGGATCAACATTTGTGTTGATCTTGATAATTTTTTTCCTAAACATTTTTAGATTTTATTTTCCCCTTGGTGTTGTGACTGTTTATTACAAGGTGCCAACTGCACCAGTTTTTGGCCAAACTTTCAATTGTTCAGAAATAGTTTTCTGTTCTTTTTTGGTAAGTATACAAGATTTTTAGTCAAGATAACAGTAATGACTTAATTATGAGATAGCTCTGATAAAAAAGCACAAAACCAACATGATAATTATTTCTTAAGGACAATTTAAGCGTGCAAACTTGTAAATAAGGCTGTTGTGTGGGTGAATTACACGTAAAAACACACCACCTTTATGATTACAAGGGCGCTGGCTATTGTCTCCAACAAAGAACGCAGTGAAAGTACTGGAGACATTCCAAGGAGTTGACTTGGACATGCTTTTCGAGCTAAGCACGCTGTGTGACATTGGACCTGTTTGTTTAAGTAATGACATTAGGAATGGCAGACAAGGAACTTACTCATCAACATGTTTGTATAGTCGAGTGAAATTTTAAAGAGTTACATAGATTTGGGATTATGATCTGTGTTGTGTGTGTGTTCCAATCTGCTGGTACCAGGGGTATATATACAAGCTGGAAGATTTACTCGAGCAATAGTTTTACAATAAAGACGTTTATATGTAGGTGACATTCTTTTATGAGACAATGTCAACAAGTATCTGAAATGAAACAGACTTTTGACAACTTTTCATAAAAAAAATGCATTTTATGGTTTAAACATTGTAGTTAAGTACACTCAGTTGTTTTGAAATCATGGCAGGAATACCTTTGATATATGCAGGTTTTTGAAGGTTCGTTTCTCCAAATTTTGTTAAAAGTTAAAGAAAATTGAACAAAGTGCATTTGAGACTATATGTATTCAAGCGAGTTTTCCCCTTTTAGTGTATAACATATATTCACTTACATAACAAAATAGGTAAAGTATAATCCTAATTTATTGAGAATTAGTAGCTTGCTATAATATTTAGTTAATTACTGCAGGAAAAGAATGATTTAGTAAGTATGTGTTTATATAAATTTACATTCAAATATTGAATGCTCACATTACAGCGTAATTTACATCCCCCCTCACACACACACACCGACTCACACTCTTAAACACGCTAACAAAAGCAAAAGGAACTGATTGTCAGGTCAATTTTGACATCATGTAATGATATGTAATAACACATAATTTGTTTAATTATTACAACTTTATATCAATATAGTTTTATGAGAAGACCTTGTTTGTTATTGATCAAATAAACCATTCTCCGCCCCCACCATTTCTCCGCCACCCCCACCATTTCTCCGCCCCCACCATTTCTCCGCCGCCCCCACCATTTCTCCGTCGCCCCTACCATTTCTCCGCCCCAACCATTTCTCCGCCGCCCCCACCATTTCACCGCCGCCTCCATCATTTCTCCACCCCTACCATTTCTCCGCCGTCCCCACCATTTCAATTTCAATGCCGCCCCCACCATTTCTCCGCCCCTACCATTTCTTCGCCGCCCCCACCATTTCTCCGCTGCCCCCACCATTTCTCTGCCCCTGCCCCCACCATTTCTCTGCCCCTACAATTTCTCCGCTGCCTCCACCATTTCTTTGCCCCTACCATTTCTCCGCTGTCCCCTACCATTTCTTCGCCGCCCCCACCATTTCTCCGCCGTCCCCAACATTTCTCCGCCGTCCCCACCATTTCTCCGCCGCCCCAACCATTTCTCCGCCCCCACCATTTCTCCGCCCCCACCATTTCTTCGCCGCCCCCACCATTTCTCCGCCATCCCCACCATTTCTCCGCTGTCCCCACCATTTCTCCGCCGTCCCCACCATTTCTCCGACGTCCCCACCATTTCTCTGCCCCCACCATTTCTCCGCCCCTACCATTTCTTCGCCGTCCCCACCATTTCTCCGCCGTCCCCACCATTTCTCCGACGCCCCCACCATTTCTCTGCCCCCACCATTTCTCCGCCCCTACCATTTCTCCGCCGTCCCCACCATTTCTCCGCCGCCCCCACCATTTTTCCGCTGCCCCCACCATTTCTCCGCTGCCCCCACCATTTCTCTGCCCCCACCATTTCTCCGCCCCTACCATTTCTTCGCCGTCCCCACCATTTCTCCGCCGTCCCCACCATTTCTCTGCCCCCACCATTTCTCCGCCCCTACCATTTCTCCGCCGTCCCCACCATTTCTCCGCCGCCCCCACCATTTCTCCGCCCCCCCCATTTCACCGCTGCCCCCCCCATTTCTCCGCCGCCCCCACCATTTTTCCGCTGCCCCCACCATTTCTCCGCTGCCCCCACCATTTCTCTGCCCCCACCATTTCTCTGCCGCCCCCACCATTCCCATAGTTATCCTTTCCCTTCTGAAATTTTTGTTCATTAGCTTTTTTCTGACTCTGTCATTTAAACCTTTCATGCATGTTTAGTCATGAATGTTTGCTAATGATTGTAAACCACTGTATTTATATAATATATAAAAACCTGATAATTTTGCCATATTATGCATGATATACTGTACTTATCTCAATAAAAATCACATTGCAGTAATTCGTAAATCAGTCGCTATTTAGGTTCAAACCTTGATATCTACTAAACCTGGAAGTTTTAATAGTTCAGATAAGCTTCTTTTATATATTTTACAATTATTTTTCTCTGTAAAATATACTTCTTTGAGCTTTAGTATTATTTCTTGATCACAGTACAATGACTTCAGTACATTTAAGATAGGAAAAATCCTCCCCCCCCCCCCCCTAAAAAAAAGAAATGTGTGTTGATATATCATCAGTAAAGCCTGCATATATAGACTTTTTGGATCAATCCAAATATTTGTCTATCGCAGTAGATTGTTTCAAACGTTTTAGACCTCACAGCCTGCCAAGGCTGGTATATTATCAGAAATCGGAAAATATTCAATCGAAGAGACAGGGAAGAAATATCCATACTATTTGATTACTGATGTACAAAGCCCTTTAAATAGTGTTGAATTTTGTTTGTGGCCGCATGATTAACTTTGATATTCTAAATTCGTCTTTTTTGTGTGTGATGGATTTCAGCAAATTAATTTTACCAATCAAAAGATTATATTGAATATTTCAATGGGTATTTGATATATTTTGTTTTACGACAGAATCTGTTTGAGTGGATTTTAACGTAATTCTGACTAAGCAGATTTTGTGTGTGAAAAGACTGTTTTATACGGTCATCCTACACATGATTAGATTGCATGCAAAAATGTCTTAATGGATAAATGAATTTAGCATTATGCATGACCCAGGAAAATTAGTACAGGTAAGAGGTATTTAACATGCTGGCCCAAAATCTAAATGTTTTGTTATTTTTTTTTTGCTGGTACTGTTTGATGGGTTTTGAATACCGGTAAGCATTTTCACACAAAAGGGTAACTCATTCACCCCTGAAGACACATTTGAACTCATCCAATTCAAAGGTTGGAATAGTTCATTATGAAACTTCAGGGATAAAGGAGTTAATGGACCTATTGTGAAGCATTAGATTGGATGTATAAGTTGATTATGTAAAAGTTTTTCAATCGTTTATGATCTGATGTGACTCTGCAATTTATTTTTTTATTCCCATTTAAACAGGGGCTGTTCTTAAAACAGAAATAAACAAAAGACAGCAATACCATAAATCTGTGTGATGCATTTCAATCATATGTGTGTTTATTTTCATAAAATGAACAAACCCAGTTTTTCTATCAAGAAGACAATAAAATGCCATAACACCAAAGTAGGGATACAACCATCTCTGCTGTGCAAAATGAAATGAAAAAAACCAGAGAAAAAGGCAAGAAGAAAGTTTTTGGGAAGACACACACAATATATTAATCCCATCCCCGGGGCACCACCAAAACCTCTCTCCTAAAATCCCTCCCAATCACCATAACCCCTCCTTTAAATTCCCTCCCCCAGACCCCATCACCAAAACTCCTCCTCTAAAATTCCTCCCCTGGACCCCACCACCAAAACTCCTCCCCACCACTCAAACCCTTTCCCCATCCCCTGAAATCCTTCTCAACCCCACTAAAACCCCTCCTCTAAAATCCCCTCATCCACCCAACTAAATTACATCCCCCACACCTAAAACTCTTCCCTAAAATCATCTTCCAACACCTAAAAAACTCTGTACAATTAAACATTTTATTCTTTGAATCTGATCATTGTGAAGTCTTTGGCAATGCCGTCTTGATTCACATCTAAATGATTTTAGTGTCGACATCAAAGATTTGTGACAGTATGGTTATTGTCTTAACTGTAACGTCACAAAAGGGGAGTTCTTGATGATGTAAAAATAGAATTACCTGCATTACGCCGAAGTCATGTGATAAATATGTTTTGTGTTCTCTACAGGGTGAAGATGGAAGCAAAGAACCCAGAGTTCCCCACACGTACAGAGAGGTGCGATTCCGACAGTTCGCCTCCGTCGAGTACAAAGGTGTCACCTACATGACGCCGCAAGACTTTCTGGAATCGGTAACAGAGGAAATGCCAAGACGTAAGTTTAAAATGTATACAGTCTCTCGCGATGGACACTGTTACAGTTCGTGAGCCCCTGCATCTCATAACAAAATTCTTTCAAAATGTATAATTAATTTTAATTTTCAAAATATTTGTGATGTTTTCATTTATTAGGAAATAGAATTAATGCATTCAATGTTGGAATTTTGACCTTTTTTTTCTGCGACCCTGGACATTTTAATTACGTGATGTCCATATCACCATCACATGGAGTAGAAAATGACATCTGTTTTCAGATGCTTTGTTTCATCTGTATATCATTTTATCTTATCTTCTATTTAATCATTCCATAGCTAGGTCATTGTCAAACCTATTCCGCCAAGTATTGGGCGGTAGGGTTGGCCAATGAAAAGAGCGCTCGTCTTTGACCGAGAAGGGCAGGGTGTGATTCCCCAACACCGAAATTGTATCAGGCTACTTGTTTGACCATGCATGTATGGGTTTTCATTGGGTACCATGTTTGCCGTAACTTGCGCCCAGGGTGCATACACAAATTGCTTAACTCATTCATCCCTGAAGACACATTTAAACTCCTCAAATTCAAATGTTGGAATAGTTAATTATGAAATTTCAGGGGTGAATAAGTGAATAAGGGTAACGGTTATTACGATAAAAAAAAGTGAGTTATGATAGAACAAGTTGTGCAATTTTAACCATTGATATCGCAGTATAAACAATACAATATATTAATGTACTATATGGATTTAGATTTGGAAATCAAATGTTTCACAGGAAGTCCAGCCATGATCACTATCTAGACATAAATCTCTGCTTTAAAGTATTATAAATCATTGATCAGGCCTGGTCAAGTCTTAGATAGGAACAGGTCTTTATAATTTCACAGTTTCTCTTGAAAAAGACAACTATGGAGGGACACTTATTAGGGTGCTAATCACGGCAATACAGTACTCTGGTTGCTGCCCATGATAAGACCGCCTTCATCCTTCCATCCCGGCCAACAAGAGAAAGATTATATAAGTTGTATAAACAGGTGAAGGAACATGCTGTGTTATTTCCAAACTTACCCTATTTTCCGCTCCCTCTACCCTGTTTTCTAAGAATTGACCGTATATCATCTCAAGTGTTTTCAAGAGTTTTTAAGTCCATATTTGTGGATAACAATAAATTTGCACTTGTAAATGTGTCGGAGTGGTGAAATGATAATACTTGAGATGATATTTTGTAAAATTTAAAAGGGATACTCAATTCTGCGTAATATTATAAAAGCATTAATTTTTAATAGTTGTTTTGTTACCTGATGATTAGAATATTAAACTTCAAATTAATAGGATTTTAAAACTTTCAGGACATTTTCTGAATGTTGATGTAGCAAAAGATGAATCAGCAGTGCATTTTACACTTTTTCATTAAGAAATTTGCACAAATTTGAATGTATTTTAAACAAAAGTCGTTTAACATGTTGTTCAGTACATAGCTTTAATAATTTGAAAGGAAGTACATTTTTAACAAATTTTCCTTTTTCTATTTTGGAATATTTCTAAATGACTATGACATTAGTGACAATGTTTTAAATAGCATAAAATTGTATTCAATATTCACTTAAAGATATTCACTTTTTCAGACACTGTCTTAGAACAAATTTTACTGACAGAAAATTAGATACATATATTCAATACATTTCATCCTGAAGATTTTCCTCTTAACAGACACAAGTTTCCTACCAAGTACTGAAAAAAGAAACGGGGTTGGCACGGAAATCACTTAAAAGTGTAAGCTTCAGTGGTTTTCTTGAGTATTTGTCACAGATAAAATTTCATTTCTCGTCAAACGGAATTTTCATTGACGTGGAAAACTGTAAACTGTTCTGTATCAACATAAACTTTCGGTAATCTGTCACAATCTCTCAAAAATACGAGTGAACAAAGAGTTCGTGGTCATGACAGAGAGCTGATACTTTTTGCGCCAGTGATCTTTAACACAAAGACAGACTTGTGAGCTACCTAAGGGAAACCGATAAGGTTGGGATGCTAACATTGACAGATAAATGGTATTTGTTTAAAAACGTAGGGGCGAAAATTTTGTAATGACCAGTATCGACGGGTGATCAAAATTCACATGAAATTTTTATGAATGAACTTTTGTGTGTAGCGAAGGGGCAGGCCAGTGGACATAGCCTTATTTGATCTGTCAGAGTAATATAGTAAAAAGGGATTTTAAATCTCCCCATAACCTTGGGTCCTTGTATGTCATCTTTTTAAAAAACCTCCGATTCTAGTGCATTAAGTCTCATCACTGTGAGAACTGTTTTGAGGCAGTTCATATTTCAACAGTGTTGTTCTGTGTCGAATCCTTTTCGGGACATCATCGTTGGATTATTTCTTTGTTTAAATCCATTAAGCACATAACTGAGATTTTTGTAAGTTGACACAACAGACTCAATAGGCGTTTAAGTGGCATGGCTATCTGCTGTGCATCTCTGTCGAAATTTATCATAGTCGTCTCATCTACACTCAGAGACTGTTGGATGATCGAGATTGTCTGATTAACCGACTTCGAAAACAAGAGGTGACTTCATTACTGGTGGGATAAAATGGATTGAGTAATTCTGGGGTTGTCTTTTATTCAGTCCCCTGTTTATAGTATAGACTTGAGCTCCAACGTTTCGTATTGTTCCCAGGATCAGGGAATGATCTTCACAGAGTGTGTGAACGATAAAAATCGGTGGGAATGAAAAGACAAAGAATTGTGTCGTGTTAAAAAAACTAAAAAAAAACCCTCAAATTTCAAGGAAGATAACACAAGCATTTTTCAAGGTCAAGCAATATGACCTTCAGATATTTATCAAATTCAAAGTCACCAAGGCATGTAACAGTTGATAGTAAAAAAAAATAAAAAAAATAAAGAGAAAAAAAGACGGTCATCAAATTATGTTCATGTTTTTACTATAACAATAACTGAAAAATTATTGTTACTTCAGTAAACAACAACATAGAAAACATGACCAAACTCCCACTGCATGCATACATATCTACTGTCGTACCCCTCTCCAATTATCTATGTGCCCCCTTATATCTCTTTCTCCTCCTCCCTTACAAACCCACGTCCCTATGTAACGCAAACACACCCTTTCTCTCATGCACTGTCCAAATAACACACCTTTCTTTAAACACATAGACCTATTCTTTCTGTGGGTGGCTAATCAAACTAAATCCGGGAAGGCTGTAAAAGTTCTACCACTCTTTTTAAGTATCTACATCTACCACAATGAAAACAATCTGCTGACATTGTTGATTTGCTATGTAACCTTGAGTTATAACGCCCACTTCAATATCTGCCGGCTTGTGGTTTTGGTCATGGGAGTCTTGACAAACATGTGACTTGCACTATATCTATATACCTATACCTTTAAAACTTGAAAAACAACCTGTATATAGAATATACATATACATAATAATCTGTAAAAAATTCTATCTTGTACAAGACATATTAATGACGATGAAAAATTTTGCATGTAATTCTACGGTCAGTATCATGCGGTGTATGCATGAACGTGGCTGTCTCTTTCATTCGATCATTGTGTAGGAACTCTGAGTCAATAATATACTAGCATGTATGAAGGAAAACAATTATACAAAATTCCATACTGTATGAAGCAAAGGAGCAGAATTTTACAATTTATAGCTAAGTTTGCACTACAGCTAGATGACATTTTCTAATGTTTATCTAACTAAGTCTTAATCTTTGTTGTTTGTTTTAGCTAAATCTCGCTGTTTAATTGAGCCTTTGCTTTGCTGAATCACAATTAAACAAAACATGGCCTGTATGTTAAAGAGACTTAGCAAACTGTATGGTGAATTTGTGTGAAGCAGAACAGTGATCTTGATTTTAATTTGGAGATGTGACTCAACTTAAAAAGATTTAATGAAGCCTGGATATTATTTTTGACGCTGAAAATTGTCATGGTGAAAACATAACACTATACATTCTGCAATAAGCCCATGTGACTGAACACAATCTCTTGCTCAAAGTGGGAGAATGGGCTTATAACAGGACATAATATGATATTTGTTGGCATTTCTTACCAATATACAATTTATTTGGGTGGGCTTATTAACAGACATGGGCTTTTTGCTGGATAAATACGGCACAACTGTTTAAAAATGGCCTTATGGGGTTTTATTAAAATAGATTGTATAAGACAAAATACAGAGACAATACAAGTAATACATTGTAATGATTACCCTACAGAGCTATTACAATACTGTATTGTTTTAGATTACAACAATACTTTGTATTTGACAACAGTTACACCTACAACAGTACATTATATTAGACAATGTCTTTGACAGTACTTTGTATTTGACAACGCCTACAACGTTACATTGTATTAGACAATGCCTACAACGTAACATTGTATTAGACAACGCCTCCAACGTTACATTGTATTAGGCAACGCCTACAACGTTACAATGTATAAGACAATGCCTACAACACATTGTATTAGACAATGACTACAACGTTACATTGTCTTAGACAACGCCTACAAGGTTACATTGTATTAGACAGCGCCTACAACGTTACATTTTATTAGACAACGCCTACAAGGTTACATTGTATTAGACACCGCCTACAACGTTACATTTTATTAGACAACGCCTACAACATTACATTGTATTAGACAGCGCCTACAACGTTACATTATATTAGACAATGTCTTTGACAGTATTTTGTATTTGACAACGCCTACAACGTCACATTGTATTAGACAATTCCTACAACGTTACATTGCATTAGACAACGCCTACAACGTTACATTGTATTAGACAACGCCTACAACGTTACATTGTATAAGACAATGCCTACAGTACATTGTATTAGACAATGCCTACAGTACATTGTATTAGACAATGCCTTCAACAGTACATTGTTTTAGACAATGTCTACAACAGTACATTATGTTATAAAACACTTACTACAGTACATTGTATAAGACAACACCTACAACAGGATATTGTG